TAACTGTTCAAATTAACCCTGTATTTATTTGTTATTTGTGCCTTAATTTGTTTGGACAGTGTATATATGTAAAATTTTTTCATCATGAATTTTTTTGTCTCTTGACATATTGTGCTATATACTTTATCAATGTAACCCTCTCCAAATACATTGACATTATGAATTGGAAAATACATCAATATTTCTTCTTTCTTGAAATAGTTTTTAATGATAATGCTCCTAGTCAGCTATAAACTATTAAAAATTATATCTTCCCATGCATCTTTATTTATATTTTTATAATCATTTTATTGGGGCTCATCCAACTCTTATCACAATCCACACATACATCAATTGTGTAAAGCACACTTATACATGTATTTAGTTTTATTTTTAAACTAGCATCAATTTCACAATTACTGTCTGTATGTGCTTAAGTACTGTGTAATAAAATATGATTAGTAGAATCAGAACAAAGGACTCTAGATAGCTAAGGAGAGTACTAGGCATCTAAAGAATAAATAAATCAAATTAAATGCTATTATATTAAAATAAACTAGTCTAGATATTTGCTTGATTACAGAATGGATTGTTAAGATTATTTGTCACTTTCAAATAGCCTGCTAAGAGGGCTAATACATTATTCATGATAATGTAAACAAATATATTTTGTTTGCACTGTTGATTTAGGTCCAGAAAGTACAATCATAATAAATTCAGAAGATCCAGTATCTTACTAAACACTGGCAATAATTAATGAATAATTTAGCATTGTGGTGTCCAAAAAATCTTCAAGGGGACAACTATAAGCTCCCATGGAATTACTTCAGGAAACATTGAACTAGAAACAAGGAATCTTGGGAAGGGCATGATATTTTATTTAAAATGCAAATCTGATGATTCATATGAATTTAAATGATTAGAAGGGAAACAATTCAATTGCATGTGCTTTCTCTTTCTCTGCCCTGTAATTTTGTTATACACTGTTAAGTTGGACTCAAAATAATCCTATAATGAAGCAAATATCCTAGAAATATCATTATTGAATAACATTTGCCTATTTCATAGCTTATGAAGATTTGAATACAGCATAGGGTGGAAATGATTATCCAAGAAGAAAGGATATGGGGCCAATGAATTATTAATTCTTTTAGCAGGGATACAAAAAATATTTGTCTCCAATATTGCTTATACAGTGAACCCTCGTTTATTGCGGTTAATCCGTTCTAGACCCTACCGTGATAAATGAAATTCCGC